TTTAACTTCATCCTTGTCAAGTCTGTTATTTATATAACCATCATCATCATGTACACAATCTTCATAACAACCAGTAGTTACAACCTCGTGCTAGTGGAGGTGACAGATCCTAGTTCAAATCCCAGTTGTTCCAAGGACTCAGACTTAGTATAGATTGTACCACTGCACCCAAGTTTTTGCAGCTTTATAATATAACTAGAATTTACAATAAAGACAACTTACAAATCCATAACCATCTATTCTCAGAGCTTTCCTTATATTATCTCATCCTGGTATCTAGTTGTTATAAGAGCACCTGGCTACCTCGGCAGCTAGTGGCAGCCAATGGTGACAAGAGAATGGGAAGCTAAGTCCTTACGGAGGAGCTGTGACCTGGGCAGCATCTCCTTGGAAATTCTGAGTCAGTACAGGGGAGGTGGAGCCTAGAAATCCAATTTTTAAGAAATACATTAGGGGTATTAGATAAGTTGGAGAAATGCCATATTGGAAAGACTATCAAAATAGTTAATCAACAAAACCCAAATCACCTTACCTATGAAGGGGACGACTCCCTGGCTATTCGAGCTGGTTGCTGGGCCTGCTCTTTCTGGCTGGGTCCCCTTGCGAAAGACTCCCTGACCTATGGCTTGGCACCCCGGGTACCTCCCCTGTCCACCCATGTGATCAGAATTGGGTGTGAGCCAAAGTAATTTGGACTGGAGTCTTGATTCTGTCACTTGCCTTTGGTCCTGTCACTGGGTGAGTCACTTCTCATCGGTAGGAGCTGGCACACAGAGTTGGTAAGTTAGCCAACTAAGGGGCACCTGAGGCTTTTATGATATTTTCATTTATGAGAAATACATATTCTGTCATTTAGAAGACCGAATACATTTGTCTCATCTATATTTGGTCATTCACAGTGCCTGACTCTCAGCTCCCCAAACCCTAGGAAATCTCCAAAGTAATGAATGGGAAAGGTGCCTCTTGTAATGTTAATGAAGGCAAGTTCTGAAAAAGCACAGAGGTTGGGGGCTGTCGGCCAGGAGGACCAACTTCATGAGAGGGCTGGAATTTTCAGCCCCACCCCATCCCATATCTGACCCCTTGGGAGGGGGTAAGGGCTGGAAGATGGAAAGGAAGCCCCCATAAAACCCCAAGAGGACAGGATGGTGAACACAAGCATTTTGGGGGAGAAGGTGCAACTGGAGAAGGCTCTGCACCCTTCACCCCTGGGCCTTCCTGTGTGTCTTGGCCATCTGGCTGTTCCTGAGTTGGATCCTTTCACAGTAAGACAATGGTCTAGTGCATGAAGGGTTGTGCTGAGTCCTCTGTGCAGTTCTAGCAAACTGACCAGGTATGAAGGGGAGAGGGGCCCTAGGAAGCAGTGATGTACCCCAGGCAATCAGTTGTACCCCAGGGTTCGAGCTGGGTCTGAAGTGGAGGATGGTGCAGGTGCAGGGCCTGAACCCCTTCCCTGTGGAATCTGATGCTCTCTCTGGGTAGTGTCAGAAATGAGTAGACTTCTCAGACCCTCCTGCTCAGGTTCCAGAATTGTTGGTTGGTGTGAAGCCTTCACATATCCCCCCACAAAGTACAGGAATTCCACTCAGCTTTATTAGCCTTTTTAAACTGTGAAATGCTAACGTGAGGTCAGATTGTTATAAATGAGCAGTTCTCCCTAGCTGAAGTCCTGCCTACAAGTACAGTGGACCCTAGTGCTAGAGAAGTGTGGGTGGCGCTTGGCTGTCTGAACCTCCAAAGAACAGATATGTCTAAGAAAAAGAACTTTCCTCTGAGATAAACTTTATTTCAAACTTTCAGTTATAGGTCAAGAAAATGCTTAACTAACAGAAAATAAAGAACTGCCCAAATTTTCACAGAAAGTAAGTTAGCAGGGAATGTGCTGTCTCAGGACTTAATAACAAAGACCTTTAACCTTAGCTAATGATTAACAACGGTAATCAAGTTATTAAACTGGAAACTTGCTACTGTGTGAAATGACTGCCTTTTGAAAGAGTTAAGAAACTGTCAGGTGTAGGCTCTGGTTTGTTCAGTCAGGACAGGCACGTGCGTGTGAAAGTACCTGTCAAAGGCACTGTCAAGGAGGCATGACTGAGGCCATCACCTTGCAGATGCTGGGCTGTTCCTGCATTATTCCATTGCTACATCCTCACTTAAACCCTCTGAATTGTCCCCTGGTTTGTAGTGTTACTCAGAGACACAAGATGCCACAGCCTGGATACACTCTGCTGTCGTCATGACTTTATACCGCCCTTCTGACCCCTGGGAGGCCAGAGTGATGCGTCTGCCAAAGTCAATCTACTGATACGGGGCACGGACAGGGTGGTACAGCCACAGGCTGCCAAGGCCAATCACAGCAACTCAGGGAGCCTAAACAGCACGTGAGTCAGTGCATTGGGGACTGGGCTGGTCATCCACACACGGCACTCCTTTCCTATGGGTGTGACCACGCAGATCAAATGATAGATCAGAAAGCTAAATCCAGTGCCAAGAGTTAATATTCTTTCAAAGGGCACTTAGTGCTCTCCTCTATTGCAGGGAGAATTCTGTATGGAGATGCTGTCTAGAATCAGAAAGACTTTGGGTATTCCTTCATTCTGTCTCCCTGTCAACATCCTCTCTGTCTGTCTCCCCTGACCCCCCACTTCCCAGCCTACAATGCAATGTCCATTCTTTCATTAACTTTCAACACCCAGGTGACAAGATAATCCTGGCCATCCTCCAGCAGTCAGTCAAATTTAGGTTTGGTTTCATTAGCAGTATCTTAGGATGGGTGGAGTTTTTACCCATTAAAAAAAAAAAATCTATGGGTTTCCACTTGAGATGGTGCCATCTGCCTAGCAAAACAATACAATACTACCAAACAGCAGTATTTTGGAGATCTTCAGGGGAATATTTTACCACCCACCTTAAAGAAGCGATTCATATATTACATATCTAAGTCTGAAAATATTTTACAAACTAGCATTAGTAATTAAAAACTTAATAACTTTGGTTTTTAGGTTTTTATATAATGAAGTGTGTATATTACACATAGTCTAACTTAATTTTTCACTTTCAAGGCTTCGTATTTTTTTTTAAATATCTACTACTGATTTCTGGTGTTTAACATCAAGTGAAAAGTTCCAACTGTGATAATACACTTGCTGCTTCTAACTACTTCTTGAACAGGAGGATGCAGATCCCACATTTCATTCTAAGGCGCAGAGAAAGAAGCTGGATGGTGGATCTGCTGGTCATGACTTTGCTTGTCCTCTCAGCTATCTTTGCAGGAAGTAGTAGGGGGAAGGGACAGTCCCTCAGTGGACATCCTTCTGTACACATTCACATGGGATTGTATGTGTTTTCTACAGAGTAGTGAGAACATTCAAACTGTTTTACTGACCCTGAATTAGCATCACTCCTTGCTCTACATGCAAGTACAACTGTAACCACAGAACACCATCCCTTTCCTGAAAGTCTATAAGGCCTGAAGTCTACACACTCAATCTAACACTGAATGCACACTTAGAGCAATAACATGTGACAGCTAAATGGAGCTAGAAGGTTCTCTCCAAACACCAGCATCTTTGCAAGTGAGACACCTACAGTCTCAAGGGCAGAAAGGACCTTTATGAAGTCCCCAAACTTCTCGGCCTTCACTCATCCTTCCAAAGAATTCCCCCTCATTTTATGTATTATGCAGGTCAAATCTGAGCTCACCACCCCAGGCACTGCAGACTTCCTCAAGACCCATTTTCCCCTTATTACAATGCCTGGAAACAGCTCAGTAACTAGGGACGGAAAAAAGAAGAGGAAATCAAGAGACCCAACTGAAAATGTATAAGGTGAGGCAGAAGAGAGAGCCTAAAGGTGAGGAAATTCCACACAAAATTCCTGCCACAGATTATTAGTATCAGTGCTGCAGTTTTTAGAAAGCTGTTGCAAAGGAATGGTGATTTTTCATTTAGGCACTCAACACATGTTCACTGAAGGCTTACTTGGTGCAAACAACTGATGAGACAAGGAGAGAATAAAAGAAGCAAGTAAACAGTTCATTTCAGTTGGTGACAAGGCTAGTATAGAAATAAATCTAACAAGGATGTGTGCATGCTATAATTTTAGACCATGCACCCATGGGAAAACATCTGCGAGGAAGTAACATTTAAGCTGACACCCTGCTAAGCCCTGTTCTCCAGATAGTGAGCTGTGTGGCCTTAGGCAGGTTACTCAATCTCTGAGCCCCAACTTACTCACCTGGATGAGGAAGGCAACATCCTTAAGGATGTAAGTAATGCAAAAGCAAAGAACCAAATCCCCTGTATATACTCAGTAGAAACATTGGTTACTGTCATTCTGAGGTGAGAGACCCCTGACACGTGAAAAATATCCGGAGAGCACAGAAATGAAAGATCCACGCGGGACTTCTAACTACTCCAATAATTTATTACTTGCAAAGCCTACTGGATCGCAATTCTAGGGCAGGGGCCAGGTGGTCTCCAGTGCCACTCCCAGCCCTTCTCTCCACCAGGAGAAGTCAAGAGCTAGGAATGTGCAGGACGCGGGGGGTCGGTGCCGCTGGTCCCCCTGCAATCGCTCACGTCCTTCTGCGCGGTGGCCTGTCCCCGCGGCAGCCATCTTGGGTATCTTCCCCGCGGCGAGTTTTGTCACGCGGCCGCCAGGGACAGCCTGGCAGGTCTCATGGGGTGCAGGATGAATGAGCCCCCTCCCATCCCATCGAGACCCACTCCACCACGCGCACTGCGGGGAAGCTCAGGAGGAAGTCAGGCTGCAGGAGGTAGAGTGCAGTCGGGTGGCAGAATGACAGGGGCCCCCAAAGTGCGGGGACCTCTGGCCCCGATCTGCCCCAGGTATGTCAAACGTGCTTCTGACCTCGGGGCCCCGGAGATCTCCCGCCTGCCAGCCCCTGGGCGCGCGGCCCCTACCCGAGCACGCGCCGTCAGCAAGGCTTCCTGCGTATTGCCCACGCACCGGGGCCGGGCTCACCACCCGCGACTCACCGCTCTCCCCGGGCCACCGCCCGCGCCGCTTGCAGGACCCGCTCAGCGCCGCCTCCACTGCCACCGGAAGCGCTTCTCCCGCCACCGCAACCCCGCGC